ACACTGTAAACAGGTAGACTGCTTTCCTTTTGCTAGTGGGAGTGTTAAGTCACCTCTCAGAATATTAATTCATTAAATTGCCTCGAAACACTAAATCATTGCTGGTGGATATGCTAAATATTTTTAACATCTAATTTTCTAGATATATAGACATTTTTAATTCATATGGGATGGAACTAGTTTTGCTTGCAAATAGAAAACTTCATTGGATCATTGGGCTTAATTTTTAGGTTGTGGTAGTTATAATTGGAATGTTCTTATAATTTCTATTATAATACTATGTCTCTTAATAGAAATATATATCTGACAGTATGTTTCTCACAGCTACAACATGGTGTATATGCAGTTTTTTGTATATCAAAAAAATTGCTATATGTGGTCAAATAGCATAGGATAGAAAAGTTCCAGTTTGCCAAAGAAATGTGACTTTCATCAATTACAACTTGTTTTGATTTAAAATGTTTCTATTTGTAGAGGCATTTTAAGTATGTTATTGGAATGCTAACAATGGGATGTTAAACCTGAGTTTATTAGGTCGTTGGCTGATGAGTGGAACGCTTGTGTTATGTATATACAGTATACATGGTTATTACATGTTTTTAAATCCTAGGACCTGTAATGTCTGCATGTTTCTAAATATATACACTCACACACATATCTATATATATACATACATATTTAGTGAAAGCTTTTGTTCCCTTCTTCCCCTAGTCAGATCATTTATTGTAAACATTTGAGCAGCTGAAGGGGAATTTTGTTAGATGTGTATAAAAGTCACAATACATAATTGTTTTGCTTTAAATGTTTACTCTTTGATTTGTAGGAATTACTGACACGTATTTGTGTATGTAGGTTTATTTATGCATACATATCACTATATAAACAATATTTATTGCTATAGAATAGAAATACTCTTAAATCGCCAGAAATTCTGTATGGCTGCTAAATATAGAGTAGACAAATGTTACCTTTTGCTTTTTAGCATCTGCATACAGATTTTTAATAGGCATATTTTGTGACCAGTGAACTACTAGGCAAGGGCATACACACTTGAGTTTGATCAGTAGAAATGCTATGCCATGTTTATGTAGGATTTATGTAGTTGATGTAGAGTATAAATTGTACATAGAAGATAAATATAACATTTTTGAATATGTAATTACTGTCATATTTTTGGAAATATATTTTGATTCAGAAGTAGAATTGTTTGCCAGTAGAGTTAGCATGTTTTTATTCTTGCGAGGTTTGATTTTTGGGGTCTTTTGGGTTTGTTTTGGGTTCTGAAGTTCTGAAAAATAAGATAGTTTTTTCTAAAGCATTTTTATATGAAAATGTACATTTTAATATTTTTTTTCTTCCAATGTAATTGGTGGCTTGTCCCTTCCTGTGTTTATTGGGCTGTTGGGTGCTTGGATAGAGCTGAAGAGCATTTGACTGCTGTGTGAATAATAGATAAGCATCTTGAATAACATCTGAATTTCCTAGGTATGTAGAAACACCCACCGTACACATACATGAAGATAGACAATATATGAATGTTAAAGTGTGATTGAAAATGATCTTTTACCAGTAGAAGTGTTAACCTTTATTTTGTTTTTTAATTTGACGTTTATGTAGAGTTTTATTTGTTGATATGTCCATATATAATATGTCATCTACCTTTATGAATGTGCAGAAATTTGTTATATTTGGTGGATATATTTTACTTAAAAATATAGATCAGAAGCTTTTTATGTTTGCTGAAGTGAAGTGGGATACCAAGCCTCTATGGTAGAGTGGGATTTTTAGATTGCTGTGTGTAGAGTCAGATTCTATCTTTAAAATAATCTATTCTTTTTCTATTAATGTATAGACATTGCTGATGTATATATATTTAAAAATTACCATTATAGGCATTAGCTTCCTGATTCACTTGTTCGTTGGGAGGCACATGGAGAAGGATGTTGAATACTTTGTCATTTTGTATCTGTAATGTACAGTTGTCAGGTTGACTCTTCCTACCTCTGGGTTTTTTGTCTGCAAGCAAATGCAGCTGGAAAGTACAGCATTGGCAGAATCTGAAATCTGGGTAAACAGCACCCCGTTTTCATTACCATAGGCTCCGTAGAGCTGACTGAGGGAGTGAGATGTGCTGATTTTGGTATGGGGGTATGATACAGGTACCAGTCCCCCTCCACGGATATCGCCAGACTGTGCAGTCCTCTTCAGTTTTTTTTTGTTGTTGTTGTTTTATAGATAGTATAGACATAAATATATTCCAAGCATTACTTTGTTAAACTTTGCTTAGCCCTGCAAATGATTTTAAGAGCTCTATATGGGTGGCTCTCTTGGGGTTACTATTAAATAGCCATGTTTATCATAATTCTGTAACATTTTAACTTTGTAAATACATAGTTTGTTGATAAAGAGGAGAGAGACATTTTTCTTTTGATGATACTGTTCTTTTCCCTTTTGTAGTCTTCATTGCTTTGCTGGTATTGTAGAAGACAAATTACTTGCACATATTTAAGCTTATGTATTAAGTGTGTATATGCAGTCATGTTAGAAAGGGAGATAGACTGGTTTTCCCCTGACATGTTTAAAAGTAAAATTTAGCTTTAATTAAATAGTTTGGGTCAGTTTCATGTAAAAGTAACCTCTCTATTAAGAGGTATATCTTATTTTCCTAGATGTACTGAAGTTCATGATGCAATTCATTTTTCTTAAGAACATACCATAGATTCTTATTAATATATTTTGTTCATTTTTTGGCATGGCAATAACCAAGGCATTTTTGTAAATAAGCAAATGAAATAATATTGAACATCTAGTATTTCTAGATGTATAGAGTCTGACAAAGTATGAATTTTTAAAATATCTTATTTAAATTTGTTAGTACTATTGTCTTTTGCAACTAACATGGCAGTGAAATTGATTATTGATACCCAGGACCTTGGAGATAATCAAAATTTATCATGTTTTAATTTGGATATTAGGAGGAGGAAATGACAAGACTCTGCATCTTACCCGTTCTTACATAGTTTACCATTATATCATATATAGATTGCATATTTTTAAAAACATAGATGAAGCGTGGGTATGGTGGCTGACGCCTCTAATCCCAGCACTTTGGGAGGCCAAGGCAGAAGAATGGCTTGAATCTAGGCGGCAGAGGTTACAGTGAGCCGAGATTGTGCCACTGGACTCCAGCCTGAGTAATAGAGTGAGACTCCATCTCAAAATAAATAAAATAAAAAACTTATATGAAACGTCATGTAAATGCATTTGGTCTTTCCAGATGTGCTTCCTGATAACATAATTTTTCTGTTACTGTTTAAGATATAAATGACTTCATTAAAGAGATTTTCTACTACCTCTAGGAACTATACAAAATTCTGTATGTGTTCCCTTGGTTGCATGACAATATTCAAGACAACGTTGTAAATAATAGATACAAAATTTTAATTTTTAACATCTAGTATTTTTAGATGTATAGGGTCTCACAAAGTACAATTTTATAAATTAAGTCATTGTAAAATTTCATGGTTTCATTGTGTTTTGCAAATGTCTTGGCAATGAACTTGATAACATTTTGGGTTTCTTGACATATTTTGGTATCTGTTGGGTTGTTAGTGTAAGGAAAAAGGTAAAAGTGCGTATTTTCAACTTTGAATTGTAATCAGAAAAGATTATATTTTAACCATTGTTTAGTCCTTCTATTATATTTTTAAAACTTCAGTCTTAATTTTGTAGGGATATTGTTGATAGGGCATTATATAAATAAACTTTTATAGTCAGTATAGGAAATGTCTTTTATAAGGAAAAGTTCTACCTCTTTGAATAACACAGTTTTGTATTTACTTGGACTGCATGACAGTATTCAAAAACAAAGTAACATATACAAATGTCATTTTCTAAAGCTCTACCTTTGCTAGACGCATGGAGTCTCAACAAAGTATAAATTTATAAATATTTCATTGTAAAGTATCATAATTGACTCCTTCAGGTGTTCAGTAGAACAATAGATAATCATTAATTGGCCCTCTTGCTACTGTGTAACATTTTGGTTTTTGTGTGTTTTGAGAGGGAATAGTAGATTGCCGCTTTTTGAATGTTAGGGTCTCTTGTGTAAGAGAAATAACCATTGATTTTTTTGTGTGTGCATTGTATACTGCTAACAAAGAAAGAAACAAAACCCCCTGGATATTTCATCTTTAGAAAGATAGAGGAAGACTTGAGAAGGGAATGGCCTTTGTAAATTAAATAGATGTATTGAGTGTTAGAAGATTATTTAAATAATTGTTCTTTTGTTATTTGTACTCTTTGCAAATTTATTTGAATTTATATCCATGTATATCATAAATATACACATGCACATCCAAAATTTAGTGGCATAGGTCTGATATATCTCAAGGATATTAATCTTTCACTCATTTACTGATTAGTGTTTTCATTTAAAAAATTGTGGAACTGTGGGGCGTAGTGCCTCATGCCTATAATCCTAGCACTTCCGGAGGCTGAGGTGGGCGCATCACACGGTCAGGAGACCAGCTGGTCCAACATGGTGAAACCCCATCTCTACTAAAAAATGCAAAAAGTAGCTGGGCGTGGTGGCATCCACTCAGCTAATCAGGAGGCTGAGACAGGAGAATCACTTGAACCTGGAAGGCAGAGGTTGCGATGAGCTGAGATTGCACCACTGCATTTCGGCCTGAGGACAGAATGAGACTCTGTCTCAAAAAACAAACAAACAAAAATTCTGGAACTAGCGGCCAGGTGTGGCAGCTCACGCCTATAATCCCAGCACTTTGGGAGGCTAAGGTGGGCGAATCACCTGAGGCCAGTAGTTGGAGATCAGCCTGGCTAACATGCTGAAACCCCATCTCTACTAAAATTAAAAAAAGTTAGCCAGGCATGGTGGCTGGCCCGTGTAATCCCAGCTACCTGGGAAGCTGAGACAGGAGAATACCTTGAACCCAGGGGGCGCAGGTTCCAGCCAGCTACGATCATGCCATTTCACTCCAGGCCAGGCAACAAGAGCAAAACTCTGTATTAAAAAACAAGTTGTGGAACTACTGTCCTATTTCTAAGCTTGCAGATATTTCTAGCTTTCCACTTATGTTACATCTAAATGTATGCTAATTTTTCATTAAATAGCAAGCAGGTCTATAACCATTTTCTAGTCTCTTTCAATATTTATATGAGTTTGGAAAAACTTTTTTTGTGAAAGCTTTTAAAAACTATCAGATACATGATAATCATAGATAGATTTCAAGTTTACAATGTAAATTAGGAAAATTTTATTAAAGATTCTATCCAGTATTGGAAAGAATACTGGATATATCAAAAGTATACATTTGAGTCTTTTTAAGCAGACCTTTGGCAATGACAATCAAATTGGTAATTTGTAAAAGTTTTGAAGTGTTAATGGCTGGCTACTGGGACTTTATCTATTCCAGTTCTCAAAAATTTGCTAAATGTGTTATAGGTTAGGTATAAAATCATAAAATATCTGAGATACCTGTCAATAATGAAAGAGTGTAGGTATTGTAGCTTCTTTAACATGAATGTAATTCTAACACTAAACAATTTCTATATGGAATATGTTTTGTAGTGCTAAATTGATATTTTATGTCATGTTTCAGTGAACAACTAGTTGTTTACAGAGGTCTGTGCATATGTTTCTAGTTTTTCTAACTTAAATATTAAAGGTTAATTATAAAAGTAATGAATTACACTTGCAACTTGTCATTCTGACATTTAATATGTGTTGTGATAATGGTGATTATTTAATACACTTTGAAATTGTAACACATGAGTTAAAAATCAAAAGATTGTATATGGACGTATTTATATATTGCTACCTGACAAAAATCTAGAAAACAATATGATTGATACGAAAATTGTTTGGAAGGACATGACAAAGTTTAAACAGTCCTCTGTGGAGAAAGGAGAATAGAAGGACTACTTCTACTTTTTGTACCTGAAATTTTCAAAAGATATTTCAAAATGGACATTTAAACAACAGGAAGTTTTAAAGAGACAACCACTTTGTGCCTGTCTTCATCCTTCACATTCTCCGTCCTAGGAACAGTGGGCTGTGGTATTCAACTTCTTATTCCCAACAGCCATTATGAACAGTTTTTGATTGATCTCACAAAGAGCATGTGATTTAGATAGTAATGCAGCTACTGCCATGAAACAGTATTGGATTACCAAAGGGAAGAAGCAGAAGATGGAATTTGAGGTAGGTGTAAAATAGTAAAATTTTGGTTGAGAAACAAATGACTGAAATATCAACTGAAACATTCTAAGGAGACTAAATTTTCATAGTGGCAATGCTGTATTTGTGTGTACTGAGTAGATCAAGATGTTGGAGGCGGTATCTCGAGGGATAAGGTGGAAGTTATCTTTCATTATCTTGGTATAAACTGAAAAAAGATTGCTTCCTTTTAAAGTGGTTGAGTAGGCCTTTGCAGATTATAGATCATTCAAAATTACCAGGGATAAATTTTAAATATTGTAAGCATTTTTCTAAAAGCTGTGGTTTTAAAGTTAGTGAGAAGGTGAATTGGTTGCTGGTATACTTGGTTTTCTCTATTCACTATGCCTGGCTAGCCTGTAATTATCCTAATGCTATGTTCTGATGCCTGATTTGTATCTAAATGTTTCTGTATTGGATATTGTTTTTCTTAGGTAATCAGGATGCATGAAAGACTTAACTTGCAGCTAACCTGCGAGTATTCAGGAACATCCGTTTCTTACACAGGTAAGAAGATTCTGGTACTATTTGGTGATAAGGTTTTGCCTGAGCTCAGGAAAATAATACTGGTACAGGTGTGTTTTGGGGGCACCTTGGAATTATCAAATGAGTTAGTCTTTAAAATACATTTTGTTCAAGTGTAGGTATAGATTGGTTGCCAGACCAAACTGAGGGTCAGGCTGCTATTTCTCATGGCCCAATAACAAGATGCAGATGAACTGGGGAGGAAGAGACTCTTTATTTCTGCAGCTGGTTATAGGAAGAAGACCTGGAAATGGTTGCCACACCAACTCAAAATTACGAAGTTTTCCAGAACTTGTATACCTTCTAAGCTCTATGTCTATGTGTAAATGTGTATTCATCTGAAGATACAAGTAATCTGTAACTAAGGTCTGAGACTTGGAGACCTTTCTCTGGAGCCTCAGTAAATTTACTTAATCTAAGTGGGTCTAGGTGATGAGGTGATTACCCTTATCTTGTATCCTACTAAATCATGGAGGTTTGGGGTGTTCCTTCAGATCACCGATAAACTTGTTTGTGGAGGCCTGGAAAGTTTCTTCAGACCCCCAATAACACTTGTTTAATCATGCTTTAAGGTTCAAGAAAGACCTACGCAAAATTAGGTGGGCCTTTGTGACATTCCGGTTTTTGTGTAAGGGAAATGACTCTTTCAGCTTTTACTATTTAAGAAACAGTTGTGGCCGGGCGTGGTGGCTCAAGCCTGTAATCCCAGCACTTTGGGAGGCCAAGGCGGGTGGATCACGAGGTCAAGAGATGGAGACCATCCTGGTCAACATGGCGAAACCCTGTCTCTACTAAAAATAAAAAAAATTAGCTGGGCATGGTGGCGCGTGCCTGTAATCCCAGCTACTCAGGAGGCTGAGGCAGGAGAATTGCCTGAACCCAGGAGGCGGAGGTTGTGGTGAGCCGAGATCGCGCCATTGCACTCCAGCCTGGGTAACGAGCGAAACTCCGTCTCCCAAAAAAAAAAAAAAAAAAAAGAAACAGTTGTTATGGAGACCTGCATTAGTGAGACCTGGCCTGCCACAGGTGCATCCAGAGACACGAATACATAGCAAGAATACCTTTATTTAGTTTACTTATATATGGTCAAATACAACAATATAACTAATAATAGAAATGACCATGTTTCAAATACTGGAAATTATAAAATTGACAATATGTGTGTTTTCATAAATGTACAGGTTTCACAAAATGTTTGCACATACAGTTCTTTGATATAATAAAGGGTGAAGTTCATGGAAACCACGAAAAGATGCTACTATTGAAAATTACCAAATTCATTATGATGTTGTAGAGTCGACTTTGCTATAGGATTGATAATGAGGAAGTATTTCTAAATGTTAACCTGTAATACAATTCAACATGAGCATTCACTTAACCTGCCACCTTGGCTGTTTCATTAGAGTTTCTTCTTTTTCCTTGTTAGGAGATGGTAGTTCCAAGAAGGAATATTTTATCATCTTTGTTTTTAATCTCAAGAATGGTACCTACCCTCAGTGAATGACCTGTTGCAGTGCTTTCATTGAAGCATTCTTCATTTCTTCAGCAATATGATTGTAAGGGCAGTTGAGTGCTAACTTGATTTGGGGAGGGGCAGTTTGCCTAGACAGGAGTTGATATATCCTGTTTTCCATAAGCTTGATGATTTTTTGTAGCAGCTAGTTGACATTTAGATTTGATTTGGTAACATGTTGCTATGTAAGAAATTTCCTGAAACAGGTGCATAAAACAATACTGTTATGTCCATGGATTTCTTTGGTTTGATTATGCCCAGGACAGTTTAGGAATAGTATCTCCTCCAAAGTCTCATTGTAGCCTCTATGTTTTTTAGTATAGTTACTATTTCTTTCTCATCAAATAGGCTGAGTTCCTTTTGTTATTATCATTTGAATATTTAGGCATTGCTCTCAACGTTTATTGTGCAGAAATGCATGTATACTGCATGTAATAATTCTGTATGTCAGCAAGTGACCTAGAGGTAAAAGGATCCAGATACAAAGACATCATGTGGATAATGTTGGAGAGGTCAGTTTTTCACAAGACACAAGAAGAAAAGAGGCCAAGCACGGTGGCTCATGACTGTAATTCCAGTACGAGGCCAAGGTGGGTGGGTCACTTGAGGTCAGGAGTTCAAGACCAGCCTGACCAACACAGTGAAACTCTGTGTTTACTAAAAATACAAAATTAGCCAGGCATGGTGGTTCATACCTGTAATCCCAGCTACTTAGGAGGCTGAGGCAGAAGAATTTGCTTGAACCTGGGAGGTGGAGATTGCATTCAGCCGAGATCATGCCATTGCACTCCAGCCTGGGCAGCAAGACTGAAACTCCATCTCAGGAAAAACAACAAAAGAAAAAAATGAAAGAGCTAAATCTGTCCTCCTTTATTATTAGAATATTCCAAAAGGAATTTTTGTCCACCTGCTCGCTCTTCATAATAGAATGGCTGTTGCATATCATTTTACAGACAGATTTTTATTAGTTCTTACTGATGACCTAAAGTTTGCTTCTAACGTTTTCTCATTTTCCCTATCATTCTCTCAGGTGTTGACTGAAAAAGGGGAGCTGTGCTACTATTTGTACCATCATCTTCACCAAAATCAAAAATACTTTTTATGATGTTTGGAGACACTCTTCATGATTGTTTCAGTGGACACTCCTTTGCAGAGCTGAAAAACTGAGAAAACTCATTTTTGGAAAGTGTCCTATAGAGTTGTCATTGAAGTGAATTTTAAGTAGGCACGATTATTTCCATGGTTGCTGTTGGACCATATCTGAGGAGCTGGAATGACAGACATTAGTGAACAAAGAAAGCAGCATAGTGGAATTAAAAAGGCTTCATCTCAGTGCTTTCATAAGTATGAATTGCGTAATTTTCACTAATCACAGGGTAAATATAAAACTGATTCATTAAATTCACAGGACATAGTAATTGTGTACAATATAGTACTTTTACTTAAATGCTTTTTGTCTGTTTCTACCCCCTAGTCTATTATTTTATAAACTAGTTGACACACAAGTGGTGTTTTGAGGATGATCTATTACTTACACATTTTCGATGTAGTAAACATATATATGTATACGTGTGGGTGTGTATCTAACTACTTTGTTGGAGTGATTCCTATGGTTTGGAATTGCTGGGGCCAAGTTTATGCAAAAATAAACATTTTTGAGTAAACTTCCCATGACTAGAGTAAGTTTCCCCAGTATTTGCAAATTCTTCGTTTCCTGTGCAAACATCGGATAATCAATATTTGTAAGGGTTGGTAATGTAATTTATAATGACCTTACTTTCTCATCTGTTTTGTTAACTGTATCGTATAGCTTATAACTCATTTGTGCTATTTCATTTTCCTCTGTTCCTTTTATTTTCACTTCCCTTGTATTGTTAGTCTCTTCGTACTGATACCTGAAGAGTTCATTTATGATTAATGATGTTAACATTTTGTCTAGAATTGCAAATTATGTTTTTTCTCATTCATTTGACTGGTGGTTTATTTTTTGGTTATACAGAAGTCATATATTGAAATATGAAATATAATCTTCTGTTTTATGGCTTTGGAGTTTTGTGGTTTTTTTAAACATGTTTAAGTTAGTGTCATTTATTTGTATTGCCTTCTGTTTTGTGAGTTACTTTGTCATTTCTTTCTCCATAATCATCATTCTGGTGTTGAGTGCATTAAATACTTCTGGTGTTGAGTGCGTTAAATACTCACTTTGACTAGTGTAGTTGTCTCTGAAGTTCTACCCTAATCATCAAGAATATTTCCACGTAACGATTGGCTACATTTTTGTTAACTCGCATTACTTACCATCTTTTTGATACTTTAATAATTGCTAATGATTTATACTGTCTCATGTATTCTATTGAGTTTCATTTCTCTTCTTTTCCAGAATGTTCTCTGTCTATACTTGCATTTTTTTCTGTCCTTTGACGCTTACAATTTTTGCAAGTTGGAAAAAAAATGCAGTATTTCATTTGCAACAAATTTAATAGATTAATTAGGAAAGAATAGATGTCTTTAAAATTGAGCCTTCTATCCAACTGCAAGGTAGGTGTTTCTATTTTTAATGGAATAATAATTTGGGGATACAGCTAGTGCAGTTTTTTCCAAAGTATTTTTTAATACTAGACGTTTTTTAGGTATTTGTTAATTGAGTGATTTGGATCACTTATTCAGCTTACCTAATTGATACGTAAAAACATTTTTTGTATGTCTTTCGTAGTAGTCTTTCACTGAATTTCTGAAATTAGGACTTTGTTTAGCAATTTGTCATTTTAATTATCTTGATAAAGTACGTTATTAAGTACTTCTAGGATATATGCAAGTAGAAAGTACACTTGGCAATTGAACTGCTAATTGCAGTTCCCTTAGATCATGGTTGTTTAATCTTTTATTTCATAGGGGGCTTAAAAAGCCATAAACAAAGATATATAAATTGAAGGTACAGCAAAAGCATTAAATTTTAAAAATCAATTAATATTGATTGTTTCTAATTAATTGCAAATATTTAAATAGAAGGAATTCAACCTTCAAACATTGCCAAAAATAACACATTCATGAAAATTGGAAAATTTAAAAATATTTACAACCATTTTTAAGTTAAAATGTAAAATATCACTTATCTTTAATTATGTATCTTACACATTGCAAAGGTTTTAGTCTTATGTGATGTCACAACTTTTTCTAATTTGTCGCTTTATTTTTGTTGCACTTAATGTTACATTAGTAAAACTCATAGGGGGCTTACAAAGCCATAAATAAAGATATATAAACTAAACATACAGCTAAGGCATTAAGTTAAAAAATTCAAATAATATTGAATTTGTTATGTTAATTAAAAATATTTAAAAAGATAATGAGATGATACATGTCGAAGGAATTCAACCTTCAAATAAAAATGCCAAAAATAACACATTCATGAAAATTGGAAAATTTAAAAATATTTACAACCATTTTTGAAGCTAAAATGTAAAAAATCACCAGGTTATCTATAATTCTATATCTTACACATACCAAGTATATACCAAGATACATAAAGTGCTTAGCCATATAAAAGGATTCTTAGATTTGCTGATAAGAATGACAATTGAAAATACAACTAAGATATAATTAATTTATCTACATGACCAACATGGAGAAACCCCTGTTTCTACTAAAAATACTTTGTGATAACTGGTTGCTTGGAACTAAAACTATTAGTTCTAATGAAAAATACTTAAAGTTGTTAGTTTTTTCCTCTCATCTTTTACCCATCTCCACTGTGTGTGTGTGTGTGTGTGTGTGTGTGTGTGTGTGTGTGTGTGTAGAAGGGGTAAAGATTCTGAGCTGGAGCTGTGTGTCACTCCTCAGTTTTCATGAGGTAGTGATTATATAACATGAATAAACAGTGAGCACCTAAGAATTCTGCAAGCATGTTCATAGTAGTATTCTCTGAGAATCATTTTTGAGGTGAGTAATAATGCCATTTCTGTGTTTTTTTCTCCTCTACATGCCATGTCTGTTGTTTATTTGCCTGGTAATCTTTAAAGCCACACTTACTTTAACATGAGACATTGATATATTATTGAAGAAGCTTATGATAGCCCAGGGCCTTAAATAAATGTGTTGTTTTTGGTGTTAAATATACTTATTTATGGGAGTGTGTACATATTCCTGGGTGTTCTGGTTCCTCAGGGACAATCTAGATGGTACAGAAATATTTTGTTCATTCTATATTATGAGTCAATTTATAATTTGACCTATAGCTAGACGTTTTGATTGTCACTTGTGAGTAAAAAATAGGAAGACTGTAAAGATCGGGAATGGAGAAGGTGACTTGATTAGGTATCACAGACTTTGTAATGTCCTGGAACGGAAGATCTGTAAGTTGATTCAATTACATGAGAAACAGAAAGTGTAGTAAAGTTATCTGCGATCATGGGGGAAATTGTTACCCAAATGGATAAAGAACTATATTCATCTCTCATGGTCTGTAACAGGATGAAGAATTTGAAATGAATTACTACAGACATTACAGAATTACAGAAATTCAGAAAATGAATTTGTCTAATTTTGAGGATATTGATGTTAAAATTGTAGAAGCAAGAAGAAACACAAAGACTGATAGTTTTATTATGAAATGACAAAGTCGAAAAAGTTTTGACATCACTTAAGACTGAAACCTTTGGTATGTGTAAGATACATAATTAAAAATAACAGTTAATAGAACACAGTCCCCCACTACCACAATTTATGCAGTCAAGTTTCCCACATTGGGGGGGAAAATACCAGTTCATAGGAATAATGACATGAACACCTAGTTCGGTGGTGTTAACATATAAAAGGATTCTTAGATTTGCTCATAAGAATAATAACAGTTGAAAAATACAACTAAGATATAATTCATTTCTCTACTATTAGATTAGCAAAAGTCCAGAAGTTTGACATTTTTTCAGCAACATGTAGGGAAAATCAGATGTTGCTGCTTATTGTGTAAAATATAAAACATATGGGTAGGAATTTGATATTTTGTAAATGTGTATCATCTGTGACAAATCCATAGTTCATCTCCTAACACATGAAGCAGTAAGGATTGATGGATGTTTGTATACCACTATGAGATAATTTCTTGGATATAATGTACAAATATGGGAGAGCTAGTCTATAGGAAGTAAAAATAGCAATATGGTGTTTGCATCCCTGTAACATAACCATGTTTGTTTATGATGCCCTGGCTGGTCACTGAAATTGTACTGGGGTTTCAACAGAATTTTGTCATAATGGGATGATGCATGAGCTAATGAGTTGTGGAATACATGAGTCTTCATTGTGGAATAAGTTATAAGTAAAACAATGAAAGGGGATTTTGCAATATCTTAGGAAGAACAGACATTCTTGATAAAGTTCCTTATATGTGAAGATAGCATTTTAAAATAATTGGAATAGTGAGTGAAGAAACTTTCTCTGTGAGAGGAGCATCAGTTCTAAATATATCCCAGCCTCTTCTCTTCTGTTACTTTCTTCAGAAGGACTTGAGGTAGCTCCTGAAGTATTTGATCAAGGTGGTAAACTCCTGACGAGTAGTCCAGGCGTCTCTTCCACCTCCCAGGTTTAAGTGATTCTTCTGCCTCAGCCTCCTGAGTAGCTAGGATTAGAGGCGCCCACCACCATGTCAAGCTAATTCTGTTTTTCAGTAGAGATGGGGTTGGCCACTCTAGTCTCAAGCTCCTGACCTCAGAAGATCCGACCACCTCAGCCTCCCAAAGTGCTGGGATTACAGGCATGAGCCGTTGTTCCCAATCTCAGTGAAATTTTCTTTCTGTTACCTGATTATGTGGATTTAATAACTAGTGGATGAAATTATGTGGGACTGGTGATTTAGAATAAAGCCCAGAGAGACAGATAAAATAATCTTCTAATACAATTTCAGATACAATAATGGATGCATGCAAAATTGGGCATATTAAATAAGAAATAGATGGAAAGTAGAATACGAGCAGATGGCTGGGTGGAAGAACGGAGAATGCAAGTTTTAGAAACCAGTTGATTGTATGTATGGATATGTGCAACAGTGGAATCATTTAGTGAAGGTGCAGATGGTTATATGCCTAGATGTTAGAATTGGAATGGATTGAAAATGGAATGGTATATCTATAAATCTTTAGATTGATGAATACAAGTATGGTTAGCTAGAATCTTCAATAAATGTAGGGATCAAGATACGGATACATTGATTGCCTGGGTGTGATAGCTGCATGTTTGATGGTTTTAGAGTGGCTTAATAGATTCATTCACAAGGTGATGGTGCAGGAATTTGATGACTGTGACAATGGGCTGATGAAATAATAAGAGTCATATATGTAAAGTTGATGAGAAAGATGGATATTTGAAAGATGATGGTATATTTTCATGGGCAAATTCATTAGGAAATTATAAAAGATTTGTTTTTGCATTCTCAACATGGTAGTAAGTAAGCAAAAACAAACCACAGTGAGTTCACAAATTATTTCAATGATCTTTCAACATTTTAATAATTTGGGGACTTTTGGAGGTTGAGGAATAAGAGAACTTTACCTTCTGTACATTAACTGGTCATATGTCACAATTTCCCCATATTTTTCACAGTTATAGCTGAGGTGGTACCAGTTAAAGAAGTGAGAACTTCACTGACTGAAATTTGCATATCAATCCAAATGATTGTGCTTGTTTACTATTTTTGTAGACTTCATTCTTCAAAAGTGCGGGTAAGAATCAGTAACCCTGGTCTACTGTTTATTTTTGACCAGTTTGATATTAATCTAATTTGTAATATTTTAAAATCCAAAACCACACATGAATTCCATAAAGTACAAGGCTGTGAATTTGTGCAGTTTTTATCAGGTGAAATAAAAGAGAGAAAAGGGCTCCTAACTTTTGGTGCAGTTTTGACATGCAGTATATGCAGGTTTTGATTTACTACTCTTACCTGCTCTCAACATAGTATGTGATGTTATCTGGACTGACACTATAACTTTTTATCCATATACTCAGTAAATTTTATATTATCTCAGTAAATTTTCCTGAATGCTTTGGAAAATAAATTCATCAGCTAGAGGGACATAAGGGAATCTGGCAGCTAGTGGGAAAATAAGGAAAACGCATGAGCTATTAAAAGATGAGTCCTTTAGGAATCAGAATTTGCTGTAAATATTACGGGTTATAATGAGAGTAGAGCATCAGGTTTAGTTTTAGTTTCAAGTGCATGATTTAGGATATCATCAGTGAGTAGGTAAGGTGTGCCGATAGGAGTTAAGAGATATTCAGCATTAAAGCAGTAAAGGTAGTGTCTTAACACCCTATTATTTGATGAGTGAATGAGAAATCTGCAAATAATTGTCCAACATTCCTGTTTTTTTTTCACAAGCTTCTTTCATAAGGAGGACAAAGACCTTTCTTAAAGGTAAAATCATTAAGAACTATATTCTGATTTTGAAACTGTTCTCTTTGCTTTGTTGATATGTTAGTCTTCTTTGAGTTATTTGAAATTAAATTTTTCAGAAAACCTATTTTGTGGTTATATGATTATTTTGAGTTGATATTTTAATCAAAGACTGTATTATAAACTTGTTAAAAAGCAACATTTGGTAAAATCAGTTGTTTTCTTGATGTTAGTACCACTAGAAGTTGCAGAAGAAGCATATAGGAAAGCAAGGAGAATTGATGTGTGGATAATGGGAGTTGGTTTGTTGAAAGATCTTAATACAATACTATGGAATACCCAGAGTATCTCATTCGTATTTCCTTACATTGTGTCTTTAAAAAAAATTTGTAACCCCTGAACTGGTATATAAATGAGAATAAAGAAACTACACAGAAAATGCTGGTTCAAAGAATGAATAGGTGATTGGTTGGTATGAAAATAATTTGTAATAGGTATTAGGTATTTAAATCACAACAAAAAAGTGTGCAGAGGAAGGAAGGAAAATGGCAGGTTTATCATTTGCATAGAGTAAGTATGCCTGGATTTGCAGGGTTTGGATTATTCCACATCAAATTGTAGGAGTTTAGTTTTATAGATCGTTACTTGACTGAAAGATGATATGTTTTTTCACTAGGCATGGCTGTGTCATAACTTGTTGTTTCTTTGCATTTGCAATCTCTTCTTTTGTACTGTCAGGTGGTGACCATGTGGATAATAGGATTATGTAGACAAACGGTTCTGTCTACAGCATCACCTAAATGCTGCTGTTAACTGCTTCTTTCTGGGATCTTCTTGCATCTTTGCGTCTCAAGGGGCACAACTTTTAAAAGTACGTCCAAGAATAGAAGTGACCTGCTTTTTGGCAAGTAGTTGCCTGGAATGTTCTTATGTACTTCTCTGTACTCTCAATATTTATTATTTCATGCTTTCCTCTATTTTTGTATATTAACTCATTGTATTTCATTGTGTTTTTTAAATTTACATTTTACTTTATGAATGAAAGTAAGCTTTGTATATGGTAATATAATTAATTCAACCCCATGGACATGTTAATCATTGCCCAGATGATAGCAAGTCTTTCTCAGAAGCAGAGTGCCTTGGTGTGTCAGTGATTTTTTTTTTCTCCCATTCGTAAGATACTTTTTTCCTCATTTGAATCAGGAGCCCACAGTGTTTGGACAAGTCTTAAATGACATTTTAAGCATTATCTGGACTAGACCTTCTGTAGTATCCTTTTTGTTAGACCAAGTATATCTCATTCTCAATCAAGATCTGAGATTGACTGTAGTTCACCTCTTTCCAAGTACACAAACTTGGATGACATAACAACTGGAAGTGTAATGGAGAAGGGAGATCCTTACACTGCCATTTTGAGCCATCGTGATACCATCTTGCAAAACGTGGTACAGTCATTTTCTTGTTATTCCCAGTATTCTTTGGGGTTGGAATAAAAATCTAAGTGTACCAGAGAGATTTCCTTTTTATCCACATTACTGTGGTTTTCCTTTGCTTTCTGCTTAACCTAAGTGGGTTTAATATAAAATAGTGTTTATTTGGTGGTGTAATTGTCTACCTCTGTAACATATGCTGTGCTCTCCACTGGGGAACTGCTCACTATATTGCCAAACCTGTCTGAACAGGTTTATACCAGGGAGGCATCCAATATTATCTCTCTAGACGAGAGTCAGAAATAACAAACAGTTGCTAGAATTTTAAGACTATGTAATCAATCCCATTGATGTCAGTTAATCGTACCAACAGAAGATGTAATGGTTTAAAAATCTCATGTGTATTGCCATCAGTGTACACCAAAATAATAATATATTATTTTGTACGCCAAAGTACAAGTATGCCAAAATCATACTATATTATTTTGTTCGTTGCTAGCTAGATCTTGAGATAGAACTTGAGTTCCTTTTTGCAATACTCATTTGTTTTACTTGTACAGAAGATGCTTTTGTACTTCCAAAGCTAACTCATCCTATAATATTTCTTGTGTTAATATTTTTCAAGTTCATAATGCTATTCTGCATGTGAGAAGATCAGTGTCCTAATCACACACCTTTACATTATATGAAACATGATACAAAGTTTTATAGTTGGTATAACAGTATACAGAGGGCCGGGCGTGGTGGCTCAAGCCTGTAATCCCAGCACTTTGGGAGGCCGAGGCGCGTGGATCACGAGGTCGAGAGATTGAGACCATCCTGGTCAACATAGTGAAACCCCGTCTCTACTAAAAATACAAAAAACTAGCTGGGTGTGGTGGTGCATGCCTGTAATCCCAGCTACTCAGGAGGCTGAGGCAGGAGAATTGCCTGAACCCAGGAGGCAGAGGTTGCGGTGAGCCGAGATCGTGCCATTGCACTCCAGCCTGGGTAACAAGAGCGAAACTCTGTCTCAAAAAAAAACAAAAACAAAAACAAAAACAAAAACAAAAACAAAACAAAACCACACACACAATATACAGAGGTCAGCAAACTTTGTAAAAGAGCAGACTGTATAATCCATACTGTTGCAACTACTCAGCATCGCCATTATAATGTGAAATCAGCTATAACCAATTCAGAAACAAATGGATATGGCTGTGTGTTAGAAAAACTTAATTACAAAAGTGTGTTAGACCAGATTTGGTCCATGGGATGCAGTTTTCTAACCTGGCTTAGAGCAGAAGTTTATTTTGTTCCTGGTAAGGTGGATATATATGTTAAGCAGAAGTGAGAAAATGTATTCCATCCCATGACATATTTCTGAATACTCAACATGTGAAGTTACACTAAAACATGGGGCAGAGTCTACTTTAAGCCTTTGAATTCTTGGCTCTTAAAGCCAGGTTGAGAGTTTTGTGTTTTTACTCTTTTATATTTCCTTTTCCCTTAGGCTTGGCACCAAGTTCGTTGAAACAGGGCCAGCAAGAATGAGTGAGTCACTCAGTGATAAAAATCAAGCTGTGGTCATTTATCTATCTTCCAGTCGTACTTCCTAGATTTCATAAGAGTTAGCCATTTGTAGTATAGTTATTAGTAGGTTTTCTAAACTTACATAACTTTACATGGAATTTGTTTACAAATGTCTGATTATTATGATAGTTGTTATTTTGTAAATTTCAAGTTTCTTTAATATAGCATGGACATGTTTCCAAATCAAATACAGCTTACCCCCAGACTTTTATTGGATGTAAAGTATGTATTACAGTGAGTGAATCCATTTCTCTCTTTTGGGAAAGCAGGTAAATTTTTTGTTTATTTGTTTTGTTGACACATATAATGTTGCATCAGAATATACTACTTCTACAGGATAGCTGTCTAGGTGTTGCATTGTTGGGTCATCACTTTTGTTTCAGTTAGATGCTGTGAAACTGCTCTTAAACATGGTGTCCTCTGCTACCACAGAGCAGTGTTGTAATGGAAATGACAATTTTCATAAAAACTTGTGTACAACGGGTATTAATAATTAAAGAATTCTTAATAGTTAATAATTAATAATTAAAGAATTCTTAACCTTTGGGCACGGTACCTCACGCCTATAATCCCAACACTTTGGGAGGCCAGGGAGGCTGGATCACCTGATGGGCAACAAGAGCCAAACTCGATCCCAAAAGAAAAAAAAGACTTACTTAAATTTTTAGGCAATCTAATAGGTGAAAATGGTATTTTGACGTTAAGTCTAATTTAAAAAGTTAATGGCCATGGGTAAAGAAGAAGCAAATAGTGAGGCATGATTTCTAAGATAAGGTAGTACTCCCATTTTTTCTCTACTCCCCTCACAAATCTCATCTACCCTAGAAATTACTAATATTTTCTAAATTCAGTGCTTCTTGGAGGTTCATAAACTCCCTATGCATACCGTATACCAGCATTTTTCTGACCTTGTATTGTTGAAATAATTTTAGATTCAGAATTACAAGAATCACATGGAGCAACCTGATGTACGTTTTACCCTGATTGACTTTTTATTCTGAGTTGTTGTGTTTTCTCCTACTAACTCTTCTGGCTCTCTCCTCACTCCACGTGTTTATACATAGTATTATCATTTTATGAGCTATTTGTGAGTGAGTTTCCAACATTATCTTCCTTTAACCCAAAACACTTAAGCATTTACTTTCTGAGAGCCTGAGCATGTTATATTGACTTTGGTAAGTCATGAAATGTCTTACTAGTATAAAAGTCTAACAATATACAGTCCATATTCACATTTTACTTATTTTTTCCAGAGATGTTCTTTATAGCAGTTTCTCCCCTTTTACAGCATCCCGAAAAGGACCTGTTGTTGTATTCCGGTGTCATGTCTCTTTAGACTTGGTTAATCTAAAACAGCTTCCCAGACTTTGATCATATTAGTATTCTTAAAAAGTAATAGTTAATAGTTTCTAAGGAGATACCTCAGATTTTGAATTTTGTTTCCTCATGAAAAGTTTTAAGATACTCAATTTGGGCATAAATACTTAAGTATTTTCAGTGTTCTCAGTGAATCATATCAGGTGACAGATGTCGCTTTGTCCACTTTGAACCACTTTGATCTCTTGGTTCAGTTGGTGTCCACTCGAGTTTTCTACTTTAGTTAACATTCCTTTGTAATTAATTTGTAACTGCACCAATATTCTATTTTTCATTCAACTTTCACATAGTAGTTTTGGTATTCACAGATAACTTTTACCTGAATCAGTGATGATTTTTAAAAAACTGTATTATTGCTTATATGCATTATTTAGTGTCTTGTACTGTAAGGAAGGGTTTGTGTATCATGACCTGTCAGAACAGTCCAGCAGTGTGTTTTATCAACTGAAAATTATGAAAGAAAGGATAAGGTGGTGATCTATATGGGAAGACAGAGAGGTCTTCCAGTGGGAGCAGAGTAACATAGGCCAAGGAAAGCCAAGGAGACGATTGTAGCCTTTTATTCTTCCTCACATTGAGGTTCAGTGCTCACTGAAACTATTTCCCCAAAAAATTCAAGCCTCTGACTCTTCTGAGTCAGAAGATTTATCTTTTTTTTTTTTGTTTTGAGACGGAGTTTTGCTCTTGTTACCCAGGCTGGAGTGCAATGGCGCGATCTCAGCTTCCTGCAACCTCTGCCTCCTGGGTTCAGGCAATTCTCCTGCCTCAGCCTCCTGAGGCAGCTGGGATTACAGGCACGAGCCACCATGCTCAGCGGATTTTTTGTATTTTTAGTAGAGACGGGGTTTCACCATGTTGACCAGGATGTTCTCGATCTCTTGACCTCGTGATCCACTCGCCTCGGCCTCCCAAAGTGCTGAGATTACAGGCATGAGCCGCCGCGCCCGGCAGATTTATCTAATAAAGTTATTAGATATCTAATATTTAATACAGTTATTTATCTAAGAAGGTTAATTTCAAGACAAAACTGTACAATTGGTTAAAGAAAACGCACTCATATTTATTTGATGGTTTGAAATATTCTCTGCTACATTATTGTACCTCATTTGTCACCTTGCAGATACGACAATCATGTTATCTTAATTATTCCACAGATAATTTAATTCTAAAATTGATTTATTATTTATCTTCAGGAATAAGAGATTTTTAAAATGTCATCACTCCTGTCTCATTCATCCATTTGCAAGATTCAGTGAGTGTTCTCCCCAGGTCCTTGGACAAGAATGCCTTGTTCAGTGGCTTTATTTTACTCATAATTAACATGCCAACCGCTTTGGAGTTTTTTAAATTAACATTTTTGATTTCTGCGGTACTTAGTTTTCTATATTTTTATATATTAAAATAAGTTTGGTAGGATAAAGATCACTGTTGATGATAGAAATACTTAAACCAGAAGTAGAAGTAAGAAGTTACATTACGTAAGTTGTACATAGGTGTTAGCATTAGGTTGTGTTACATGAAAGTATTAAAAAGTCCTGGGATTTGGTGGTTTCTTTTGAAATCCTTGCCAGTTATACTTGATAAAGTATTGAATGATTCCATATGAGGTGAGAGGAGGACTGAATCAGGAATTCTTACCATTTAGACCTCAACGACTGCTAGGCAGGGTTGGTTTTCTCTGAGTGCATGATTTTAAAAAAAAATCTGTTTTGCCAGTTTTAGATCCTTATTAAAGTCACAGATTAAGATTTTTATGTTTAAGTAGGAAACTGAAGCTGAGGTGAATTTGTAGAGAGAGAATACTTAATGGCTATGGGAAAGGATGAGATCTACAGCTAGAATGTATTTGGGAGTAGGACATGTCTGAGACCATGCTTTGGATGCTCTAGCATTTAGATACTGAGAAAATGGGAAGACCCGTTAAAGGAGGTGGTGGCTGGAGTCACTAGGTGAAAACCAAAGGGTATAGTGTTCCTGAAGATACATGAAGAATGAGGTTAAAAATTAATGAGGTGGCAGTGGCTTTTGTATGCCGTGAAAGACACAGTTCAATCTGGAAATTGAATATCATTGATTGTAGTGCTGTTATTATTGAAAAGGCCATATCAAAGAATAACCTTTGAGTTAATGGTCT